GGAAGTTCAGACTTATCTAGGGTGTGAAGGTCTTAGTGTAGGGATCGGGTAGGGACAGGCCACATGAGATTTCTGTCCATGCAGAGATTGGAGAGAGAAGCCTGGCACAAGAGTTGAGGACAGAATGCAGAATGTATAACGAAAAGCAGGCAGTGTGCCCTGTCTTATAGAGGGCACAAACCCAGAACAGGGATCCAGCGTGCCCAGGCCTGAATCCCAGCTTGGCCATTTATTCACAGTGTGATCTTGGGCATTCTTAACCTCTCTATGTCTCAGTTTCCCCATTTGTAAAACTGAGAAAAACGACAATACTTTTTTCTTACAGTTGTGGTAAGGACTTAAAGAGTTTAATGTGCTACGGGCTCAGAAGAGTGTCAAAGCATGAAGTCACCACAGTTGTCACTGTGCTGTTGTCTGGACTGAGGGGCGGTCAGGACTCAGGTACTAAGGTTAGTCCCTTCCCTGTAGAGGTCACAAAGTCAACAGCCTCTCAGACACCATGACCACCACTTTCCAGCGAAGGTTGACTAGTAACCTGGGGAGTAAATGAATTTTCCGACCTTGTCCATCTAAGCAGGGAGGTTTTCCAGACATTTAAGTGTAAACATCACGACCGGGCAGGAAATATACAGCTTCTCCTCCTCCCAGACATTGTTTATTGTGTACCCACCATTTACCGTTTACCAAAAGAAGACTTCCAACAGAGACGCTCTTCCTGAAACCCAGCAGGACCCCAGAGGACCTTCCCAGGACAAGCCCTCCCCCACATCCTCTGCTCTAGCTCTTCTCTGAAGCACCTAGATAACAGTATCTGATGCACATTTCCTGAGTTGTTTTGCAGATGTGAAAAACCCTTCCCTCCTCAACAGATGGAAGATGTTAACTACTGGGCACATAGCCCCAGGCCTCCTGGAACCTAAGGACTGACATTGTGAACCCCTGTGACCTCACCATCAGTCAATCAGAGAACTGTGCAGGAGCTGACCTCTGACCCTGTGACACCACCCTTCTCCCCACCTGACTTTTTCTGTTTGTTTTAATTATTTTATCTATTTTAATTGGAGGAAAATTATTTTACAATATTGTGGTGGTTTTTGCCATACATCATCATGAATCAGCCACGAGTGTACATGTGTTCGCCCCATCCTGAACCCCCCTCCACCTCCCTCCCCATCCCATCCCTTTGGGTTGTACCAGAGCACCAATTTTGGGTGCCCTGCTTCATGCATTGAACTTGCACTGGTCATCTATTTTACATATGGTAATATACATGTTTCAATGCCCACCTGCCTTTTAAAAATGCTTTGCTGAAACCCTTCGGGGAGCTCAGGGTTTTTTAGGCATGAGCCACTGGTCTCCTTGCAGGACCTTGCAGTAAACCTTTCTCGGCTCCAAACTCCAAGGTGTCAATTTGTTTGGCCTCACTGCGTGTCAGGCACACGAACTTGCTTTAGTACTCCTTCCCCAAACTTCTCCAGAATTTAGCTGTCCTTCTGCAGATTCAGCATCAGTTCTGGCCCTCAGCTTCTCACCTGAGCCCCCATATCAGCCTGCTGATGGCTTTTAGTCCCTTGTCTCTGCTAATTCCATGATCCTTACAAAACTCAGATCATAACTGTGCTTAACTATGTCTGGTGGGAAAATACAAATGAAAGCAAAAATAGCATATGGCTGCCCCCCATCAGGCTTATGATTAAAACTTCATCAAAAACAAACAACTCATAAGAAAGGAGATCAGATTTGTGGTCACCAGAGGCAGTGGGTAGGAGGAGGCAAAATTGGATGAAGGTGGTCAAGAGGTACAAACTCTCAGTTATAAGAAAGGGGACTTCCCTGGTGCTCTGGGGGCTAAGACTCCATGTCCAGATGCAGGGGGCCTGAGTTCCATCCCTGGTCAGGGAACTAGATCCCACAGGCCACAACCAAGAGTTCTCACAGCACAACTAAGCCCTGGCCCTGCTGAATAAATAAATAAAACATTTTTTCAAAAAGATAAATTAAGTTCTAGGGCTGTAATATACAATATGATTGATAGAATTAAAACTGCTCTTATGTTATATGCGGAAGTTGTTAAGAGAGTATGTCTTCAGAGTTCTCATTACACTGACCAAAGCTTTTTCTATTTCTTTAATTTTGTATTTATATGAAATGATGGATGTTCACTAAATGTATGTGATAATCATTTCATCCTGTATGTAAGTCAAATCATTATATCGTACACTTTGTGAGTGGTCAGTTGCTCAGTCATGTCCGACTCTTTGTGACCCCACGGTCTGTAGCCCGCTAGGCTCCTCTGTCCGTAGAATTCTACAAGCAAGAATACCGGAGTGGGTTGCCATGCCCTCCTGCAAGGGATCTTCCCGACCCCGGGATCGAACATGCATCTCCTGCCTCTCCTGCGTTGCAAGCAGATTCTTTCCCCACTGAGCCACCTTGGAAGCATTATGTCAATTATAACTCAGGAGAAAAAAAGCGAAGTCTGCTAATATCAAGCACTTATAATGGGTCTGAGAGGGAGATTTTCACACAACCCTTGTGGGAGGGGTCATTTTGGAGGGTCTCTAGGCAGCGAGATTGAAATTTAAGGTGCACAGTCCTCTGACCCAGCAGCTACAGGGCTCCACCTATACCCAGAGGATCATTCCCACGAGAATGAAGGAGGAACATCAAAAAGGTTCATTGAGCCCTGCTTAGAACAGAGAAAAAAGCTCAGAAAAAAATCTAACAGTCCATCAGAAGAGAAATGGCTACACTGTGATATACCCACTTCCTGGAGCACGGCACAGCGCTGAAACACCAGCTACACATACCAGTACCGACACCAAAGGAGCTTACGTAAAGACAGATAAACTACGTCTGTCCCCCTTCAGATCCATATGTTGACGTCCTAGCCCCCAGTATCTCAGACTGTGACGATATTTGGAGATAGCATCTTTAAGGAGGTTATTAAGATATTGACCAAACAAGGTGGTCCCTAAGCCAACATGACTAGTGTCCTTGTAAGAAGAGGAAATTAGGATACAGATGCATGAAAGGAAAACCTGGTGAAGACACAGAGAGAAGATGGCCATCTACAAGCCAAGGAGAGAGGCCTCAGAAGGCACCAACCTGCAGACACCTTGATCTTGGACCTGTAGCTTCCATACTCTGAGAGAATAACTTTCTATTGTTTAAGGCAGTGGTCCCCAATCTCTTTGGCACCAGGGACTGGTTTCACATAAGATAGTTTTTCTACGGACCAGGGTGACAGAAGGAGATGCTTTCAGAATGATTCAAGCACATTACATTTACTTTACATTTTATTTCTATTATTACATTGTGATATATAGGGTCTTCCCAGGTGTCACTAGTGGTAAAGAATCTGCTTGCCAATGCAGGAGATACAAGAGATGCAGTTTCGATCCCTGGGTTGGGAAGATCCCCTGGAGGAGGAAATGACAACGCACCGCAGTATTCTTGCCTGGAGAATCCCATGGACAAAAGAGCCTGGTGGACTACAGTCAATGAGGCCACAGAGAGATGGACACAACAGAGCAACTGAACATGCTACCTTACAGTATATATGATGAAATAATTATATAACTCACCATAATACAAAACCTGAGCTTGTTTTCCTAAAGATAGATGGTACCATCTGGGGATGATGGGAGAACAATAGGGAGCAGCTGTAAATACAGATGAAGTTTCACTCTTGCTTGGTGCTCACCTCCTGCTGTGTGGCCCAGTCCCCAACAGGCCATGGACCAGTATTTTGGCCATGGACCAGTATTGGACCAATACTGGGTTAGGGACCCCTGATTTAAGGCACCTAGTCCAATCTAGACTGCAGTACTTTGTCACAGCAGCCCTATTGAACTAGACCACACAATACACAATATTGGATATTTTCTCTGGGTGTGTATAGCTATGTGTAATGTATGGAAAAGAGAATGGAAGGGCCCATCCCAGTCCAACTCCTCCTTTGGGGGGGCATAGAGATTGAGATTGGGGACTAGAGGTTGAAAAGGTAAAATAAGTCTTTAGTTTATAATAAGAAAGTACTTGCACATTATTTGTATATCAATTTAAAAAGCCCTCACTCATGGTCTTCTATTGACTACAGCATACTATGTACTTCCCCACCTGCAACCAGCCATCTTTAGAACTTCCTTCCCATTCTCACCCCTGAACTTTTCACACCAATTTGCCACACCAGAATATTCCGCCCCTCCACAGCCTCCACACCTCTGTCTGTCTTGTCTTTCCCCCTCTGTAAGCCTGGGCTGCTGATTCTCATCCTTCAGAGCCCAGCTCAGCTGTCACTCACAGTGGAAACAGGTTGCTAGACATCTTACTTGGCAGGTTTTCCCAAGGCCCTCTTCTCTGGTTTTTTTTTTCTTATTCATTTTCACACTCCCAGTGCCTGTGGCCAAGTAAATGCTCAATAAATGGTTCCAAATGCATCGATTATAGCAACATTTTCTAGCAGGTTGCTTTTTCCTCCAATGTGTCCCAAAGGTCTCACATTTCATTCTGTGTGAATTAACAGACTCCCTCGAGACCAGAACTGTAATCACGGCATGACCAAGGGCCAAGCCTTCTACTGCTTCTTTCACACAATGGGGATGACAGGATTTCTGAGCTAGCCAAGCCGCATTTACTTTTAATTTTGGTGAAATCAGCTAAGAATGTAATGCCATTTATTTTATTCAAGTTTTGTGCCCATAAAGGTCTTCAATTAACTCACAATGTATGCATGCTCAATTGTGTCTGACTCTTTGCGACCCCATGGACTGTAGCCCTCCAGGCTCCTCTGTCCATGGGATTTTCCAGGCAAAACACTGAGGTGGGTTGACATTCCCTTCTCCTGGGGTTCTTTCTGACTCAAGGATCAAAACTGAGTCTCCTACACTGCAGGCAGATTCTTTACCATCTGAGTCACCAGGGTTACCCGAAAGAGCTCCCACCTCAAAAATGCCTCTTGAGCTTTACCTGCGAGGCTCTGCTAACCCAGACCTTACCTCTTCATTGGCTTGGGTGAGCACTCTCTCTCCAGATTGGAGGATGTGTGTTTCACATGCATTGCATTATAGGAAGTGTGAGTGTAGTCATTTTCATCACTGTAGTCAGGACCGAGCAACGTCCGGGCCCATGTTCCCATGTCATAAGGAGGAAGGGTGCCTCCAAATTCAGATGGCAAAAATTCGGGGTGTATTAGCTGGTGGAGGCTGTTTAAGTTGTTTCCATGCAGGAAAATCTGGAAAGAAAAAATAATTAGCGAGGAAATAAATCCAAAACATATGATCGAGCGTTTAATCTAATACACAGTCTAGCAGTGACAAAGTAGATGCATTGTTGGTGATCATGGAGTTTAAAGAGGCATTCAATTTTGTGTCTGTGGCTTAGTCTTCATAAAATGTTAGTTTATTGCTCAGAAGAGGGGCTGAATTAATAGTCCTTAAAAATTTAAGTTCATGAATAAATTGGGTATTTTTTGGCCATGGTCCACATTTACACATATAGTCATCTCTTAATTATCCCTGCAGATGAAAAGAGTAGGAATGTATGCCCTCCAAACCCCTGATCATGCTTCATGCACACCACATTGCACTATTCTCCTTAAGCATCCTCTAGACCCTCCTCAATGTTCCCCATCCTTCCCAGGCCGACATCTAGTGGCAAAGGCTTCCTCAATCTGCCCCAGTGACACCTGCCCACTTGACTCTCCCCAATTCCCCAAATTAACTTTCATTGTGAGATGACTTCTAAGATTTTCTAATTAGTTCGTTGATGTCTTTCTCCCCCCATAGGAGAGGGCTTCTCTGGTAGTTCAGTCATAAAGAATCTGCTTCCCAATGCAGGAGACACAGGTTCCACCCCTGGGTCTGGAAGATCCCCTGGAGAAGGAAATGGCAACTCACTCCAGTAGTCTTGCTGGGGTGATCCCATGGACAGAGGAGCCTGGTGGGCTACGGTCTATGGGATGGCAAAAGAGCTGGACAACTGAGCAACTCAAGAATGAAACAATCCCCATAGGAAGAGCAGGATGCTCAGTAAAGGGACAATTTTTTAAAAACCTTTCTAATACTCTCCTAGCTCCCAGGGTGGTGTGGACACAAGGAAAAATCTCAGTCACTTCTTAAGTAATGGAATTGGAAACTGTGACCTGGGAATTTATTGTGAGATATTTTTGCAACAATTTCCTGTTTCTGTCTGGATTTGCCAATACCCTCAACAAACAAGTTTGCATCGTTGAAGCATATAATGAATGGTGATGTAATTAGTTGTAGGGGATAAAACACCCCAAATAACATTTTCAAACAAATCCATGAAGTGGATAAGCCACAAGTCAATAATTACCATTGCCTGTAATTTAGGAATTGACTCCTGAAAGTTTATTCAAAGTGCATCTGTATAATGACATTGATTCCCAAACTTCTTCATGTTGCAGGCTCAATGTGCATTAATTGTTCCCGAGTACAGAGTCATCAATTATACACACACATGCGCACACTTAACCATGAAGAAATGTATGAATAACTATGATTTTTAAAATACTTACATATAGTATAATAATATATCATGTAAGTATTACATTACACTGTTAAACTGTTAGTACAGGCATCCCTGTCTACTGTGCTTTGTGCACTTAACAGATATTACACTTTTTATAAACCAAAAGTCTGTGGCAATCTTACATCAAGCAAGTCTACTGGTGCCCTTTTTCTAAAGTGTTAGCAAACCTCGTGTCTCTGTCACATTTTGATAATTCTCTTAATATTTGAAACTCATTCATGATTATTATATTAGCCATGGTGATCTGTGATCAGTGATCTTTGATATAAATATTACAATTTTTTGTTGTTGTTTTGTATTTAATTAAAGTAATTCAATTACTTTAATTAAATTAATTAATTTAAATCAATTTAATTAATTGAATTTTTAGACATAATACTACTGCACACTTAATAGATTATAGTATAGTGTAAATGTAACTTTTTTGTACACTGGGAAACAGAAAAAAAAAACATACATGTGATTTGCTTTTTCATGATGCTTGCTTTTTTGCAGTGGTCTGGAACCTAACTCACAACATGTCTGAAGGGTGTATATTATTGTATAATGTACTATATAAGCATATAATAAATATTTGCTTTTTATAAAATTAAATTTAGGTTACACTCTGCAGCATATGAGACCTTAGTTCCCTGATCAGGGATCGAACCTGCAGCCCCCGCATTGGAAGGCAGAGCCTTACTCCCTACCGTGCCTTGTTGTACTGAATTTTAACTTGGGATGTAATGACATCATTTAAAGAGGAAGGAGACAAGAAGCTAAGTGCTAAAATTCTTCACAAGAATACCGTAACACTTCAAGAAATAACGTACATTTTCTGACACTGAATGGTTGGGTATGACTGAATTTTAACAAGAATTTTTTTTTTAAGAAATTCACATATTCTGGCTTTTGCAGAATGTCTCAGTAGAGGAATTGTAGTATTTGAAACGTGGAAAAGCTGGAGCTAAACACTGGTCCTGGTACCCACGCACCCACCCAAAACTTCCAGATCTCAGAGGACAAGGAGCATTGTTGAAACTGGCCCTCCCTCTGGGAGTACTGCGGAGTGAAGGAACTCAGCAAGTAGGAAGCAGAATCCCCATTTGTCAGATTCTGTTCTGAACCCAGAGAACCAGGAAGCCCCTTCCCTCAGGGGCAGAGCACTCATGATGGTTGGAAATGCTGTGGCTCCTTCCTGAGTAGAAGATGAGGCCAGTGGGAAGCATCATGCCATGTTGGGAACCGTATAAGGCACTTCTTGGCTCTTATCATCATTCTGAGCCCCAGACAGATCTCAGAATGTCCTAGAATGCCTCTGCCTCCTGAGGCTGGTCAATTCTAGTCCCAGGTTCCACACTCATTTGCAGACAGGAGAATTACCCTTCATCCCATACCCTAAGGCAATGTTTCCTAGTGATCTGGAACAGCTGAGCTTTAGGAGTTGGGAACCCTGCAGGGTGTGTATATGTGGGGGGGATCCCCCATGTTATCATTCTCCTCTGACTACTCTGAGCTCTTCCCCAGGATGGAGTCCCTGGGGCATAGAGGCTTATATGCGAGTTAAGTTGCTTTAGTCGTGTCTGAATCTTTGCATCCCTTTGGACTGTAGCCTGCCAGATTCCTTTGTCCATGGGATTCTCCATGCAAGAATGCTGGAGTGAGTTGCCATGCCCTCTCCCAGGGGATCATCCCAGCCCAGGAATTGAACCCACGTCTCTTGCGTCGCCTGCATTGGCGGACAGATTCTTTATCACTATCGCCACCTGGGAAGCCCAGCAGCCTATATAAGGTGCTGTAAGACTGACTCTTGTTCCCTTAAGAGGTGGTGTCCCTGAGCTAGGTGATAGCTGAAATCAGAAAGCTTATAAGAAAAGAGAGCTAAATAGGAAAGAGAAATGAGTGTTCCAGAATCTCTCCTACCAGAATGACTTTATGCTGTGTGTCTCATAAAACTAACCCAACCACTCTGTGATGCGGGTGTTAGTTTTTCCATTTTATAAATGAGGAAACAGAGATTCAGAGAAGTTAAAGAATGCTGGGCTTCTCAGCTAATCAGAATGCCAGAGGGGGGAAAAATCTGCTGGAAGATGCTGGCTTCCCAAATGTCATCAGCTGATGCAATCAAGATTTTAAAAGCCTTTTTCCTGTGAGCATTATTATTTCTAAAGAAGAATGCATTCCCGGCCTCAAGGGTGATGGAGCTGGCAGCTATGACCCAAGAGTCACAGGGAAAAAGGCAAACCATTAACATTCTTCATAGAGATAACACATTCACAGGACAAAATGTAAGTTCTTGAAATATTCGGTGAACAGGAAGCTGTTTGACCTGGCATCTCCCATAAGCATTTACTGTAAAGGGGGCATCTGGCATTTGCATGCCTTCAATGCTTCCTTTGGTTTGTCACCAGGACTCTGAACTAAGCCAGTGCCACTAAATTATTGATTAAATCCAGGCCATTTGCAAAATTCCAGCTGAGGCTCAAAAGATCAGGGACTGCAGAAAAGCAAAACAAAAACAAAAACCACAGTGAAAAATAAAGACAGAGGGAGTTTGAGTGGAGGGGCTCTGCAGTTGTCCCTCTGAACCTCCCCTTTTTGGGTTTTGTTTTCATTACCCGTTTCCTGGTCTTGTCTTTAAGGAATGGCTTGATGAGCGTGTACAGGGCATGAATGTACCAGGGCTGGTTGACAAAATGGACTCCTCCAAAGCGGGCAGGAAAGCTGTCCTGGGTGGAAAAAGAGAAACACACAGTGATCAGCAAGCATCACAGGTTAGATGGGCCCAGTAGGACCGCCTGCTAGAGGGCCTGCTGCTTCTCAGGAATTGAAACATCAGCGAATGGTGGAAGAGAGAGGAAACACACCTACCTTCCCGTTGTTAAGGTTCCGTCTGTTCCCATCATGTCTGTGTTCCCCTGCAACTCCACAACTAAGATGTTATGCATCAGGCCTGTCATTTTTGAGTCACAATCATGTGATCCCTGACACTGCATTGGGACATTTGCAGCCTGGATGGTGAAGGGGCTGGGATTCTCCGTGGCATCAGAGAACCCAGGCTTCAGTTCTCACGAGCCCTACAAGATGGCTCTGTTTACCCTCATTCTCTGATTTCCTGCTCCAGCCCTCCCCAGAGAGGGATCATGACCATAACTAAGCCTTCTGGGTGATGGAGGCTGTGTAGGAAGCTGGTGGAAAAGGATTTCAAAGGCTGTTCAAAGTTGGGGCTCCCTGAAGTCTTTCAAAGTCTGACAGCATCCAATATCTGTGGCTTCTTTTTCACCATTTTCAGAACTAGCTCCTTATTTCATCCCGGGACCCACCCTCCCCAGTAGGTTCCAGGGACAGATACATGCTCATTGATGGGCTAGCAGACTCCCCTAACTGAGGTCCTCTTTTTCTACAGATGAACATGTGAAGGGTGTATTATTAGTATAATGTACTATATAAGTATATAATAAATATTTGCTTTTTATAAAATAAAATTTAGTTTTTTAAATATAGGAAATACAAATACTTTTAAAACTGTTTCTAAGTTTAGAATCCAGCTCAGGGCATAAGGGTAGAAACTGAGAAGCTGCCCTGGGTGCTAATTAGACCCACAGAACAAAGGACCTTGGCCATGAAGCCTGAGCTAGTCGTGCAGCACCAGGTTCTGGGCTCCTGAGGCAGGGCTTCCGAAGATTGCATTCACTGTGGTTAACAGAATTAAAAAAGAAGGAACATCTAACGTGATTCAAATTGCCAAGCATTATGGCTATCAATTTTACCGCAACAAACATCTTCGTAGAATGTTAGCAAGATGGAGTGAAAGCAGACGCCTGCTATTCAGACCGCTGGCTGCTCCTTGCAGTGTGTGAAATGCCCTGTGTGGATCTTTTTTAGTAACAAGGAAAGAGAGTTATTAACTTTTTTCAGAACCCTTTGAGTCTATAGGCTCCCTGGGCATTTTCTACACTGAGACCTAGTTTCCAATGTAAGTACATGGAACTGTGCTTAAAGGTTGACCTTTAAAAAAAACTTAACAATAATTTTGCCTCTATCTAGACAAACAATAATTTTGCCTCTATTTCTAGACATTTTACAGGCTTCCCAGGTGGCACAAGTGGTAAAGGACCCGCCTGCCAGTGCAGGAGACACAAGAGATTGGGTTTGATCCCTGGGTCAGGAAGGTCCCCTGGAGAAGGGCATGGCAACCCACTCCAGTGTTCTTGCCTGGAGAATCCCATGGACAGAGGAGCCTGGCGGGCTGCAGTCCATTGGGTCGCAAAGATTTAGACATGACTGAAGCCACTTAGCTCACATGTAAGCCTTCAGAGTTGGACATGACTGAAGTGACTCAGCACACACTCAGACATTTTACAGAGTAAAAGTAGTATTTTGAAGCTTAAACTAGACAATTTCAATAAAAGGTCTTTGTTTTGTGGCTCTTTGTGTATTTTTTGTTTCATTTATTCTATCTTTTGAAAACTTAATGACAACCACCAAGTAAGGGTGAAAAGACTGTTTATACCCATTTGTACATTTGTCAAGATTTCACACTATTTCAAGTGTAAATTCAACAAGGTAGAAGTTCTTAATAAAATTTTCTTTTCTCTTTTAGGTGCAGCTTGGGATCTAAAAATTCACTGGTTTTTTAAAAAGAAAGACCTTTCCCAGAAGTTTTTTCTTTGCAAAGGAGTGCTAAGCAATAACCTCAGTCTTCTGGGGTCTCTCGAGCTTGTTAATTCAGAACTAAAAATAACTGTAATTCATTGTCTTACATGCTACGCGTGGGTTCTGGGGCTATAGAAGAAGAATGAATGTAAAAGGTTTATCTGTAAACCAGGGTTTTAGAATCTTTTTCAGTTGTGAAAGGAAGCAGTAGCCTATGGTCCTTGCCCCCCACCATGTCCTCTGCTTGCCTTTTGTTTGTGGAAAATTTCAGTCAAAAAATAAGTTTAATCAGAGAAGTGAGAAATGCAGAAACAAAGGAAAATAGTCCAAGGAGACTAATGATAATATGGTCATTAAACATAGTCAAGGACCTTTAGTTCTTTCTCCAGGGCTATAGATAATATTCTGAGCCATATCCTGTAAGCTGTCTTGTAGAAACTCAGACATCAGGTGGAGAAGTTAACTACAAGATGACCACACTGTGCCCAGGACATGAGCTGCCACAATTCCTAGAATTGGTCACAAAGAGATGGAACAAATGGACCCCAGAACTGAAGATTAACTCTGCCTAAAACAACCAAGCTGATGCTGGTCAGACCACCCATGACCAATCTGAAGATGACTGTCGGAGCTGACTGCTGTTTCTGCATGTAGCCCCCCTCCTTCTGTCGATAAAGGCTCTTGCCCCATGGGTTGTCACTGGTGGGGGTGGGAGGAGTAGACTTTTGGACAAATGTCTGTCACCCTTCCCTCCATTTGCCAGCATCTGAAATAAAGCAAACTTTCCTTTCCACCAAGCTGGCCAGTTTATTGGCTTTTAAGCAGTGAGCAGCCAAACCACACACACTCTTTTGGTAACAATACTGCCAGTAAGAAGGTTTTTATTTCTCTTGAGAGTCTATTTATTAAATTTCTAGTTTGGTAAAATGGAAGAAAACCCTGTAAATAATACTGCAGAGGCACTAGGTAAAATCTCAAAGAAAATACTAACCTTAAAAAAAAATCTAGAGTCTTAATTTTAGTCTACGGAAACTCAGTTCTCAAAGACAGCAACACTGTCTTCAGAAGAGACTGAAAGAAAAAACACAGAGCTGAGACCTGCCAGTTGTCTGTGGATCCATCCTGGTTTCGAGTCTACCATCTTGAAGGTGTAGGATTTTATTGAGGTTGGTTTCTCATTCAGGTTGGCAAAGAAATAAGTACAGTAATGCATGTAAAATCCTATGCCTTGATTTTGAGGTTTTGACACAGGCTTACTTTTCTTCAGGTCCTGTCTATAAAATTCAAATGAAGGCCTTTTTCTGCAATAAGTGTGCTCAGTCACTCAGTTGTGTCCGACTCTTTGCGACCCTGTGGACTGTCACCCAACAGGCTCCTCTGTCCATGGGAGTCCGGGCAAGAATGCTGGAGTGGGGTGCCATTTCCTGCTCCGGGGGATCTTCCCAACTCAGGGATCAAACCTATGTCTCTTGTGTCTCCTGCATTGGCAGGAGTTCTTTACCTGGAGTGGGTTCTTTACCACTAGCGCCACCTGGAAAGCCCATTTGTGTAATAAGGTTAATGTGCAAATATTCCTAGTATCCTTGAATGAGCCTGACTGCATTATTAGTAATGGGGTGTGTGTGTGTGTGTGTGTGTGTGTGTGTGTGTGTGTATTATGCACAGGGAAAAGTGAGGGAAGAAAAAATTAACAAACACAACCATCTTTTATGCAATGTCCATCATTGTTACTCATTTTGCCTAATTTCATCAGCAAACCACAGATAAAAGAGAAATAGTCTGTCTCACAAATGAGCAGACTTATCTCAAGACAGTAAACTTTGATACTATGACAGTATAACATTTTGTTTTTTTGAGTTCTTGGCAACTAAACTCTATGCTCCAAAAACATACTCCAGGTTCAAGAAAATGGCATCAACCATTAGCTTCTTGGGGAAAAAGGAGCAGTTTTTGTCCCTTGCTGTTAGGGAACTCATGATTTGTGAATTTTAAAATTTGTTTTGTAGGTGTGCTTGTCGTCATCCACATAGCATGATTTCCTCTATCTCTGGTTACGCATTTTAAGTATCTTATAACACCAAGAGATTTCTGGTCTCAAACATTTCTCAATCTATGCCTAAGTGTCAGGATAACCCAACTGGCACAACAACAACAAAAGAAAATGTCATTAATTTTTGTGCATTTCATACATTTATCAGTAAAATATAATATTTCAAATTGTAAATATATTCAAATCATAAAACGTATCTTTCCCTCAGTTTATTTTAAATTTAATATTTCCTTATTACAAAAAATTTACCCATTCTAGAAAAGTACAAAATAGATTTAAAAAGCATTATTGAAAAACTTAGAAAATACAAAAAGAAAGAAGAAAAGAAGAAACACCTACCATCCCACTGCAAAAGTCATACTTTTACGATTTTCTAACATTCAGGACAGCCCATGTTATGTTTTAGTAACACACATCCCCTGCTCTTTATCACTGAAAACCATAAAGATGTGTTTCTCCCTCACATGAAACATCCTTGCTGGGTTGGCAGGAGCTGGCTTGATTTGCTCTCAGCCCAGGACAGCCTCCGTGTGCGGAGTAGCACTGCTCATCACATTGAGGGAAACCATGTGGGGATCACACCTTTGCTCTTAAGGCTGGTGGCCGGAAGTGACATGCTTCAGCTGTCAGATTTACAGGCCAAATACGTGCTTGTGTTCTAGGGAATCAAGAAGTAGAATTCTACCTCTGGCCGGTAAAGACCACAAATGTTGATGAACAGCACTAATGAATACCCAAGCTCTCCTTTCCTTTCCTTCACTTCCTTCATTATTTATTTATTTATTACTTATTTGGCTGCACCGGGTCTTCGTTGCAGCATGTGGGATCTTTAATCTTCATCTGCATGCAGAATTTTTAGTTACAACAAGTAGCTTCTAGTTCCCTGACCAGGGGTCAAACTTGGGCCCCCTGAATTGGGAGTGTGGAGTCTTAGCCACTGGACCACCAGGGAAGTCCCCTAATTTCTTTCTAAATGGGATAATATTGTTTTTTTACATTGGACTTAATTGATGGTCTACTTGA